AAAAAAAAAAAAAAAAAAAAAAAAAAAACATGAAGTGTGTGGGGCAGTCGACCGACGACGCGGAATTTTGCGCTCGCGTTCTGCTCGACTTTCGACCTTCGTCGTCACTGCGGTAACATGCGCACGAAACATTATTTTATTTTGATTTTTTGGGAAATACGAACTTATTTATTGCAAAAATCAACTGAAAGAGGTTGGGGACCTCACAATTCGACCCGCCGCAAGGTTGCACTAACACACGAGAAGTGTAAAACGTCCGCACAAACACCTGTCAGACAACTGCGGGAGATCGCCCGACCATTGTTGCAGGAAAATCGGATGGCAGCAAAACCAGGATGGATTTAGCAGACGCGCCCACACATTTTTCCTCAGCTCCTCCTCCTCTCATGACGAGCCGACCTCCTCCACCCATAGTTCACAAGAAGAGGAAAAAACAGAAGTCGAGTAAATGCCCTCACCGAAAAAAGCCCAACACCGACTCCCCTACTAACCGCTGACCTCTCTCCGACAAGACTAATAACAGTTGAGCCACCATCCCAGATGCGGCTATACCCTAATCCAATCCCACTAGCTAGCCCTCCTCGCCAGCAGGATGCCATATCACCAACCAGAAACCGTCCCCCCCACTGGTGCATCCTCAAAACTCCTGGCCCGCAACTAACGACAAGACTGAAACTCCTCACGAACCATAACAAGGTAACGGTGGTATACTATTGTGATTGTAGATTTAAGAATTACTGATTATGGCATCAGAGTCAAGAGAAAAATCAAGTAGTTTCAAATAATGACAACTAAAAATTAAAAAAACGGAATACAGATGGATCATCCACTTTGGAAGTTGAATTTTTGAAATAATGGTTTTATATCGGAGCAAAATATGATTTACGAATCTTTACTTGAATTTTTTTCCGGGAGTTTTTTCAGAAGCAGTCAAAACGATCAAAATTTAGGTTGTTATCTTGTGGATATACAACAAGAATTTCGTCATGCAAATTTAAAAATCAGAATAACGCAGATAAAATTGAGAGATCACAGCAAAAACAAAATTAAGATTCATCTTCCAATCAATCATCAAAATCAGATAACTCTAAAGATGAATTAGAGCAATTGAGTAGATTATTAATACTTTTTTAGTGTGAGTTGACCGATCCACTCATGGGCATGACTCTGACCCTAAAACTATCCATAAAACCTCCGTCCCCACTTCCTCAACAACCTCAACTTACATATTCCCTCCCCCTCCGTCTTCAGGGGAGGAGAGACACCCTCCCTCCTATTGCTACCACCAGGTTCTACGACATTACTAGCACTGAAAACTACAACGACCATCTTCAATCCCCCTAGGAGGAAGGGAAACAGTGCGACACCTCCTCGCCAAACCCGTTGGTGAGTCGCCGCAGTTTGTTGTTGAGGAAAAGGGGAAAGTAGCCCTCTTGCCAATATGGAGTCGCCCGACAAACCTCTTCCATGCCCACCAAACCAATTAGTCATCTTTTATCTTGCCTGCATAGGAGATGGCGCTGCACTCCAATATCGTAGCCACCATCCCTTACTCCCTCGCCATGCACTCCACCCCGCCACCACTGACCGGTAGCTCACGCCACTACCCAGCGCGTTGTCACCATGTGAAATCACGACAATCCGGTCCGGCGCACCAGACTGTGACGCCCAACCTCACGCCCAACGCGACTTCCTGATCGGAGTGGGATGTGCGCCTGGAAGTGTGAAAAGGGGTGTGCCAAGGATTTTTGGGAAAGTGGGGGTGGAGTCCCAAGTCGGAACTGAGATCTCATGTGGCAAAGCTTCAGGGGCATAGTTGCAATAAGGCTTAGGGCGAGTTACTTCCGGTCTGTTGGCATTCTATGTCGTGCAGCATAAGGCAGATGGCATGAGCGGTGCATTCAAGGCCGTCCGATCTGTCTGTTTTGGGGGCGGTGGTTCGGGGAGAGGTCTGCCCGAGATGGCTGTGATTTTGATGAGTCGGGCCTTTGGGGGCAGCCAAGTGGCGTCTGCCGTCGCGCGTTTGGATTAGGCCCCCTGGTTTCAGGGGCTCATCAGTTACCGCGTCACCGACAATTTCCGCAGGGCGTGTGGGGCCAGTACGGGGCGATGGAATTCCACAGGACTACAATGAGTTGGTGATACGGGAGGAGGAAACGGAAGGGAGGGAAACGGGTAGTGATAACGACGAAACCGAGGTTCTCTAGGGCACAATCGATTCTCTGTTAGGCAGGGGAATTCCGGGTATCTCTGCCTAATACATTCTGTCACCCAAGGGTCAAAGTACTCCGAATCCCAAGAGCTCGGTATAATATCATTGCAGTGAAAGTTCCCACCTACCCGATATCGAAGGTGTCAAGTTCGTCAATGGACGCGAATCGGCGCGCGTGGATGCGTGTAGGCTGCGCAAATCAGATCGCGCTTACACACATCCCCGCGAGGTACTCGCTTGTCTCTAGACAAACACTACCCCATCACCTAATTACTCCGTGATCCGGTACACTCTCGTTCCTGAACATGCAAGGTGCAGTAACAACAGTAACTCAAAAGGGGATAAACAGCAATGGAAGCAGTATTGACGACTATGCAAAAAAAATATTCCTACTATGCTCATGAGTGTATCAAAACGACAAGTCAAAGGCAAGGATCAGGCAAAAAGACACGCAACAGACATGACATTCATTCATTCCACAAAACACGCAACAAACAAAATCGAGATCAACCGCAAAACGAGTGTGGGCGGAAACCACGCCGCAAAAGGAAACGGGCGAATCGCCCTGAGCCGAGATCAAAATTTATATACAAAAGTAAGGAGGGAGAGAAGACAAAGAAAACTGCAAATCCATGTCCATCAACCTCAGTTCCCTCTCTCTCTCTCTCCGATGCGGACAGTTCGTCGTCACGCACCAACCCACGAAGTCGTTACCCCGCTTAGTCCTCCCGCACCCGTCAGATTCGCCCGCGCCCACACTCTGTCGTGGCCCTCGTCAACCCCGCGCGTTCGACACCAGCTCGTTGGGTCGCCCGACTCCGACTTCAACTCACCTCTTACTTCGCTCGTGAGACGACCCTCACTGATGGCGCTACCCCGAGTTTCCAACAACTGGTTAAGAGAGCTATCTAATCATGCAACCAAAATTTATAGCGTGCATGCATGCGCGAAGAACACGGAATTGCAAGGACTTAGAACGGGGATTAGGAGAGGGAGCGCCTGCTTTCGGCATGGCCAGATCGCGGCGTGGGGGACGTAGCCTCTCTCCACGCATCGATTCGAGCATGCAGTCTGCGGGATAGGTAGACACTGCAAGAGGAAAAGCGAGAGCGAGAAAGATGAAGTTCAAGAAGAAAGGTACAGTTACCATGGCGCCCGCCCAAAATTACAGTTACACACACGATTAAGGGCGCCGACTAATCAGAGCTCCGTTGCAGCCGCAAGAAGAAGCGCGTAAGCGCTGTGCGGCAAAAAAAACATTATGAATTCCTAAATTCCTATCTAATGCAGAAAAAGTAAAAAGCACGAATACCGAAAGGAAAGTCCGAAATTCCGAGAGCCATTAGGGTTCGACAAGATGCAAAAAGAAGATTAAAAAAGAACGAAGCAAAAATTCCCGCGCAATCTCCGCGCCTAAATTCCGACAACAAAACAAAAAAGAAGTGACGTCAACCCTTATTATTCGTGCCCTGTCGACGCGACACTCAATCGATCATCCCGGGACTTGCCCGACCCTGAATCCCGCCATCCGAAAATAAGCGACGAAGAGAAAATACGAAAAAGCGAGGACACTGATGCAATTCTCTCTCAATCCCGATCTCCCGTAATTGGCCCCTCCTTCCCAGCTTAGGACCCCTCATTGTTATCCCGCAGAAAGTCGTGCGGAACAGAAATCGGTTCATCACATATGTGACGCCCAGGGGGTTCCAATCTTAAGCAAGCTCCTGCTTGCTTGAATCATGACACGTGTCGATCTCTCTAATCGATCGTCACGCGAAGCTTTCTTTGTTGCTAGTTACAATGTAAAGGAGTGTGGAAGTCATCCAACCTGGCATACAAGACTCTGTCCTACGAGTTCCGCAAGAGGGGCTCTCTTCAATCCCAGGAGGGGATTATCCGTGACACGCACCAATCAACCAAGCATCAATGTCCTAAGGAAAGGGGAAAAGGAAGACGATACATGGGGGCATGGCGAGGGGGTGGGTTAGTCGGAAGTGGTGGTAGAAAGCATTCCAATCCCTCGACTGTCTCCGAAAGCTCCTGGTATCGGACGATCCGGTGGAAGCGAGGGAATCGATTACCACTATGAGGGAGGGATGCAAGATAATCGGGGTACAGGGTGGCGAAGGTTCGGAAGAGTGCCGCGTGGAATCGATCGTGGTTCTCGCATGCGGGGATAGTCCCCGTGATCATGCAATAAACCTCGACGATATTGTGGCCTCGCCACACGACACTCAAGAGAAGGGTGTGAAGACAGAAGTCGGGGAGGGCACACCGGGTCGAAGGATGGGGGTGAACCGTGACGACAAGACGGGTGGCGTAGAAGAAACGGAAGGTATCGATCGGGAAGGGATTGCGAGGGAAGGTGACGAGGGTGGTGATCTGGCGGAGGGTGAAGTAATCAAGGGGACGACGGGATAAGGACCGCGGACGAAGCCTGATGGCCCGCATCGGTACGGGCTCGAACTTGTAGACGGTCGGAGGTGGAGGGGGAGGGGGATCGACTTCATCACCGCCTGGCCGGTGCGCTCGAAGTCTCAGCAGCTGGGTCCCCATCTTCGGGCTTGGGCGGCTTCGGATCTTTGCCTGGATCGTCGGAGATGGGCAGATTTGCTCCGCGTGCGAATTCCAGCTGTCGCTTTCCGGCCACAATCTCTTCTCTTTTGCACGCTGCCTCGAGGTCCTCCGTCTGAGCGTCCATTCGTTTTACTTCTTCCGCCGAGATTTTCCACTCGGATTTCTCCAGCTCCAACTCTTCCTCTTCCTCGTCTTCCTCTTCTTCTTCTTCGTCCTCACTCTGCTCTCCCTCACTATGTTCACTATAACTGCCTTCTTCCGGTGTCTCTTCCTCCTCTTCTTCTGCTGCGCCTTCTTCTTCTTCCACTTCTTCTTCTATTGCTAGCTCCTCGTTTTCGGAGACTGTTCGGTCCTGGAAGAAGGCGAGATCGATTATTTTCCGCGGGTCCAGGTAGCCTCGTTGTGATGGCTGGTCGCGGCCGCTTCCCGACTCCTCCAAGCACGCCGACCACTGAAGGTACGGCGTCAGCGTTCGTGTGAGGACGTGCGAGACCGGGCTTTCGTCGCTCTGCGAGACGATATCAAGGGGGAGATCGTCAACCAACTGCGCGAGAGGAACCGTGAGTTCCTGCACGATTAGCTGGTGATGGTCGGGCCTCACGGATCCAAACAGGAATCTACGAAGATTGCCTTCCACCTCCGTCCGCCAGGCCTTGATGATCAGTAGCTCCATGTACTCAACCCAAGCGAGGTGCTCCTCGTCCCTTGTCCATGTGAGCCGCACTCCGACCAGGCACATTGAAAGATCGACGAAATGTTCACACCACCGCTCCCACTGCCTTGGATCGAGAAGGGGGACAGCCAACGATTCCAAACAGACGGAGAAGCGAGGGTGAAGACTAAACTGCCAGAAGATGGGAAAGAGAGATGGGAGAACGAAGGTGGAGAGTTGGGAGCGGTTCATTGGGGACGTTGGAAGGGGATGAGTTCCGGAAGCACCACCGTCGGCTCGTGCTGGGTCGCTTAAATCCCATTGAGTTCGATGCCGTCAGTAAGGACAAGATTGTCCCCGTGGCGCGTGAGCGATTGATTCCACTCTGCTGCCAATTGCTGACCCCACGTCTGTAACGTTGTCCGGATGGCGGTATGCCACAGCGGACTGATCGCGCTGATATCGCCGCTGAAGGAAATGGCAGTGGACACGTGGCTAATCCCTAGGGCTGACCGTCGATGGACAGCTACCGCTTCTGCCAACATAACCACCCGATGATTGCCCGCAAATCGGAACTCTGCTGCTGCGTATACCCCCGTGGTACAGAAGAACTGCGCGAGCCGTAGAAGATCTAAAGTGAAGCGCAAATGATGAACTTGCCGGATCGCCGAGATGTAGCCACGTGGCGCCAGCAGGTGATCACCGAGAGCTCGCTCCGTGAGAAAACTCATGGCGATGGCGAGGAGGTATGAGAGGGGGTGAGAGATGTAGGAGAAGATGAAGGAGATAGAGAGTCATCGTCTTCTTTTGAAGCGAAGGAAGAGGAAGAAGAGGAAGAAGATGCAAGAGATGGGGAGGAAGGGAGGGAACGTAGATAGGACACGTGGCGAATGATCGACCACGTCGATCGGCTTCCCGATACCTCTGACACGAGGCGCACGGTGTTCACTCCGTTTGGGCCAAGCTCGATCACTCGAAATTGCCTGAAGAATCGTGGCGCTTTTCCCTGGCGAGCACATTTCCTCACCTGCACCAAGTCCCCCAATTTATACTAGGGCCGCGGACCCGCGTTCCCGTTCCGGGCCTTGTAACTACGGACCTGCCGGCCGTGGGCCAACTCGGTCATTTTCTGGCGCTTTCAGGCTAATCGGGGTAGGGACCTTTCCATCAATTCCATATGTCGCTTGGCCTTGTCTCGAACCGTGGCCCTCGTAGGCCGTCAGTTCAACGACGATTCGTCCGGGAGGCTGGGTATCGAAACACAGGCCACACTGTTGGTCCGTAATTGAAAAGGGATCAGGCCCGTCGATTCGTGGGGCGTCCCTCGATGGACCGCCAGGATGTGATCAACGATATCGGGCCAGGGCCTTGGGTCCCGCGCTGCGATATCGCGTCGTAGCGCAGTCTTTATCACTCTATTTGCATTTTCTACCAGCCCATTAGATTGCGACATGTGGGGTGCGGTATTCCGGATAGCAACGTCGTGTACGACCAGATTCCTCAAGACTTCTCCCCTGAATTCCACCCCATTATCGGTCAGAATTTCCTCCGTGTCCTGGTGCATCCCTAAAAACCGATTGAAGTATCGTGCAATTTCGGCTGCCTGTCGCGTACGAAAGGGATACCCCTCGATCCATTTCGAAAAATGGTCCACGAATACTAGTAGGATTGAATATTCGCAGCTATTGGGTCCAGGGGGCATCACAATATCAGTAGTATCCATGCTAACCCTTTGAAAAGGCCGTTCAACTACCGTCGGTACTATCGATCTTGGCGGTTGAATCGGTGCCTTGTCAGCAGAGCAGACCTAACAATTCGCGACGATGAACTTCACATCGTTACGAATATTGGACCAATACCACTCATTTTTGTCGATTGCCGCCTTCGTAATCCGTACGGCAAAATGGGCAGCCGTTTCCTCATGCGCTGTCTTCACTCAGTCATACCTCATGAACGGGTGCGGCACTACCATCTAAATCCCACTGCCATCCGTTTTCCGTTTTTCCAACCATCCTTCATTCCAGCGGTAGTCCCGAGCCCTTTCATTGGCCCTCCTCCGATCTTCCTTGGTGAAGTCCTGGAGGAGGTTACCCACTAGAGTAGCAATCAAGGCGATATTCGTCCATACTTCGGCCCTTCTAAGCCTCCCGGGCTTCTTTAACCCTTCTGATGTGGCATCTAAAAAGCGAGCCTCAGTCGGGATCTTATCAACCCGACACAAGGGGCACAGCCAAGGTTTACTGTTATTTCGGTATTGAATGCATGAGCCATGGGCTCATGTGACACACTGTCGACAGTCTACCCATTCCGCATACCCTTCCCCGCTAGGGCGCATAGAGATCGGGTATACACGGGAAATTGCTTCGCAAAAATAACAAAATTTATCAGGCAGGGAGAGGAGAGATGAGGAGGAGAGGGGAGAAAGAGGAGTGGTAGGGTTACCTCCGTCACCCATGGCCACCTGCCTGCTTCTTGCCACGTGGAAGGACTGCCCCTTGTCCATACTTGGGTCCGTTCGCCGATTCCGGTTCCTTCCATGGGATGATCTCTTCCGCCTTAGGCACTTTAGCTGGTCGATGCAGAAGTGTCAGTTCGCCAGCGTTACCGTGCCTCTCCGTCTTTCGATGGATGATGTCGAAGTCGTATTCCTGTAGGCGCACCGCCCAACTTCCAATCATGCCCATGTAATTAGTGAGTCGCTTCAGCGCTAGCAAGGGCCCGTGATCGGTGACAAAGAGAAACTTATGTCCGTACAGATACGGATGGAAGTGTTGGATTCCCCACACTACTGCATAACATTCGCCTTGTGGGGCTGAGTAATTTCTCCGCTCGTCTGACACCGTTCGTGACGCATATTCAATGACGTGTTTGCGGCCGTCGTTCCCCTTCTGCGCTAAAATAGCGGAAATAGCCACCGACTGCCAGTCTGTGATGAGAATGAACTGCTTCGCGGGGTCCGGCCGGATCAAAATAGGTGTTGTTGCCAAAGCTTCTTTAAGGGTCGCGAAGGCCCGTTTGCACTCTGCGTCCCAACTAAGGGGCTGGTCCTTTCGTAATAGGTTCGTTAAAGGGCGTGCAATCGCGGCGAAGCCTTTAATAAAACGACGATAGTACGAGGCTAAGCCCAAGAAGGCTCGAACCTGCGTCAGTGACGTGGGGACAGGAGCTTCCTTCATCACCGCGACCTTTCTTGAGTCAGGCCGCAGTCCTCCACGTGTCACTACGTAGCCCAAGAACGAAATTTCCGAAAGGAAAAACTCGCTCTTTTCGAGCGCGATCTTGAAGCCAGCATCTCTTAGAGCTCCCAACGTCCACTCGATATGCTGTGCATGCCTGTGATAGGTCTCCGAATAAACCAGGTAGTCGTCCATGTATACGATGACGCAGAAGTTTATCATTCCCTGCGTGAGCCGTGTCTTGTTGACGAAGTTCTGAAACGTCACGTTTATCGCCCGTTGAAACGTGGCAGGCGTGTTGCAGATACCCATCGGACACCGGACCCACTGCCACGTGCCTTCAAATAGTACGAAGGCCGTCTTCGACCGATCTTCCTCCTTAACCAGAATGTAATGAAAGTCGTGCCGAATATCAAACTTACTGAAATAATTAGCACACCCAATCGCATCCAGTAAATCATCAATCCTGGGAAGGGGGTACACATGTTTGATCGTGATGTCATTCAGTTTGCGATAATCAATGCATATGCGAATCGACCCATTCTTTTTCGGTACCAATACTACCGGGAACGACCATTGTCCGGTGGCGGGTTCGATCCAACCACTTGCTTCGAATTTTCGAATCTGTTCGAGAGTTTTTTTTCGTTCCATAGGGAAATATCTGTAACGTTTGCAGTGAATCGGGGAATGATTTTCCGTCTAGATCTCGTGCTGTATGACTAATGACAGTCCAATATCTGTGTCCGTCACACTAATCGCTCCTTTGTACTCTTTCAGAATGTCTGCGATTAGGTGGTGGATCTCATCAGGTACGTATCGGGGTACGTGCAACTCATACAACTCATCCCTTATCCTTACAACGATATGTTTTGTATTCACCCACTTGGTGCTCTCTGGCGGGGGCGCGAAGATGAATGAGTTATCTGATCGCCAAGAAAACACCGTGGCCATCATCTGTGCATCTTGTTCTCAAATGGCCACGTATTCCTCCGGTGTTACTCCATCTCGAATGTCTTGCCACGACACAGGTTTCGTTGCGATCTTGATCCCGAGTCCGTTTTCGAGGCGCTTAGGGGGTTCCAAACAGTTGGTCTTTGCCCCTAAGCGTAACAATCGAATCTCTTTTGCAGGTGACAAAAGGGATTTTGGGAGATTCGTTATATCGTAGTAGTGTCTTTTGTCATCGTATCGGGCGAGAAGAGGGGAGATCCCTTCGTACAGGATTCGAGGGGGTTTCAAAGAATCGACCATCCTTGAAATCTGTACGAGAGGTTCTCCCATAATCATTGCCTGTGTTCTTTGCAAATCTTGGATAATCCGGCTCAAGACTTTTACATTTGTCTATAGCGCGGGATAGTGAATACATTGTTGCGCCATCCTCAGGATTACTGAATCGTCATCATCACTGTTGTCCGCGTCTTTGGATGTCCGCCCGTTGTTCCAGGTAATTACGCAGAGAATCCCCGTCATCGCGGGAGAACCTCGCGGGGCTATGTTAGCGGTAGTACGAAGAGTCAGTCTCGTCGGTACAACATAGGGTTTTCCCCTGGTATTTCGGACGACAATCGATCGTCTTTCAAAGTTCAGATTGACGCGAAGTGCTACCAGGGCGGGAAAACCAAAAAGCACGTCGTAAGTATTAACATATAGAACCACGACGTCTCCCAACGCATGTACCTTCCCTAATCGAAAGGCAACGTTAGTCATTCGCCCCACTGTTTTGATCTTCTCTTCGTCTGCTGAAACAAGCTGATCTTTTCTGTAAGTATAATCAGATCGTTCTTTCTTCCTGCTCTCTCCACTACCCGTAAGGAGATAGCTAACACAGCGGCTTCTGAATCGATGATAGCATTATATGGAATTCCCCATACCTCGATGTCGCATTCCGCGGATTTTCATGGGATGGGTTTAATCCGCAGGAAGTGATCGTCTTTTTGGATTAGTCCTATGCGTATGGGATCGAAAGTGCCTACGTTACTTTCGTTTGGTGTTGGTCCTTTCGCTTTTGTGTTTGCTGCTCGGGTAAGAGCAAACCCTTTTCGATTTGCTTTGCAGTGCTGCATCATACGTTCGTTGGCCTGTTCTGATATCGAAAGCAAATGACCGATCGGAAGGGGGATTCAATGATCTAAGGCTCGTACGATGTTTAGAACGTCGATTTCCCCCATGACGAAAGTGGGTCCTCCCGACTCCATCTCTCCTGGAGAAGGTCGCTACTCCGCCACTTTTCCTTTTTTAATTGTACCAATCATCCCAAGCCCCGGATATCCAAGTGTTACATACTGATGTAATGGAATAAGCTTCGTGGCTTCCTCCATTGTTGCTATCGTGGTTCCGCTTCCCTCTACTTCTTCCATCAAAGCTCCTACCCGTCCTGGCCCGTTAGCGATCGGTGTTGCAGCTACCGGTGTAACTCCGACTCGTTGTGGCGGGGGTCGATGCGGGCAATGCCGGGCTACGTGCCCTGGTTGGTGACATGTGTAACAGACATTCAGATTGCCCGGGATCCCTACTGGAGGTAGGTTGGAGCTAATCCGTGCTGGATCGGCGCGACACACACTGTGATGGGTCGCATCGATCTCATCATCGCCTCGATTCGAGCATTGTGTTCCCGTTGCTCCTTTTTACTCTCCTGAATCAAATTAACCAATGTTTTGGTTAGTTCGAGCAAGGCGAAAAACTCATTCCGTCATGAGGGGGTTTCGATCGGGGGTGGGGACACTGTCATCATGGGAGCGGGTACGTTGTCGGACGCATCGGCCCGACACCGCATGTAGCAGCGCGGGACCCTCTCGGCCACGTCACGCAGGAGTTGGACCAACCTCGTCACGAACACACAAATGGAGCTTCCTTAGGCCGCTCCGACCGAGTGCGTCAGCTATA